CCCCAAAACCCCAAAACCCCAAAACCCCAAAACCCCATGATGCATGGAATAAGGCTTTGGAAATAATAATATTGAATTGATAATTAATTACTATAATAAAATGCATAGAGGCGGTAATATCAATTAAGCTCACTAATCAGGGCAAGACTAGAAATATCCAGCAACTATTGTAAGTTAATAAGTATTTTTTATTGTGATTCTATTAGGACATCAGGTTCGATTAAAGAAACTCAATAGATATAATCAAAGATGAAGCACTGTTGAAGTATCAGGAAAATGTAATTATATTTTCAATATAATACATAAATTATAGGCATTCTTACTAGGTAAAATATTCTCAGTTGAGGCTTAGCCAAGCAGTTCACAACAAAGGACTTAGGCATCTCCAAATGATTTAGAAGGGGAGTTCAGTGATGATGATTCCTTTTCAGAAGACTCATCCATCTAAAACTAAGATGATTACGTTTTGGGTTAGCTACTAAATCAAAATAGACACAATTTAGCAGGAGGGGTAAATGGTAGTGGAGTTGATAGTGGAAAACTCTTTGAATCTGACCAAGAATAGATGAATGACTAAGATCAGGAGATGGAGGATGCTATTTTAGAGGAGGAAAATCTTGCCAGTCAAACCTTCAAGATAGACTTTAAAGTCTTAGGACAGGATGAGGAGGGTCAGCTCCTGCTAAACTAGTTTAAGGCCATTTAAAATGAATAGAAATCTGTAGTGGATGCTAAGCGAAAGTAGCATGAATAAATGGTGAGAGAGTAGAAGGAATTTATTACTCTAATGAGCAGAATTAAAACAAACAATCAATTAAAGGGCAACAATGGCATAGATGAATTGCTAAGAGAGTGCTAGTAGGCAGTGCTGGGACAACAGAATACTAACAATGGAATGAAGATAATGCATCCAGTTTTCATTGAACTAGAGAAATTCACAAAGACTCTTGGGAATAGTTAGTAATCGTTGAATTAAACTGCTAATGAAGATAACCTTAAGCCTTGGAGTGTTGAAAATAGAGATAAGATTAAGGTTTTATAGCTATGAGGGTATTTGAATTCATATAGTTTTTATTGGATTTCAAGAATTAATGTAATTTAATTAAGTCAATGCAATACTTTCAATTTTAAGAATTATTAAGATATTTAAACTGCGGGGTTTTGGGGTTTTGGGGTTTTGGGG